AATGAATAAAAATGTGACAGTTCAACAAGAACATCCTAGGAGGGAAGGGATCTCTAAAAACACCCATTTCAGTTTCCAGAACTAAGAAACAAATGTAGCTATTTTGATCTGTTATCACTGGCTGCTGCAAACTTAGATATAGATTTTTTTTCCTGTCATCACAATAGAGCTGACTTTGAATTTGAAGTATACTAAAACGAAAATTGAAAGCTGTCTCGCAAGTGATGATAAACAAAATATTTTCTACCTTCCCAGCTGTGGCTGACTGACACTAGTCGCCAATTAACGCTCACTGAGGCAGCTCTTCTTTCTGGGTTTCTTAAACTCTCCCAGTATTAAGAGGAGAGGTGTTTCATTTCATCTCTTAAATCTGCCCTAAATTCGAGGAGTTGCAAATGAATATAAAGATCAGATAGTTGAAACAGCTGGTGTCAACTTCAAACTGTGATCCACAGATATGTGTAGGTGTACGGGATGAAGACAAAATTCCACACCAGATCTTCCTGTGTTGCTGTAAGCCTAGAGTTTACCAATTCTATCAACCACTTACTTGAAGGAATAGTAGAGGCAAGAAAACGACTTACATTTTTAGAACCTTATAGTTTGCTAAGACCAATTCATTGTACCGAATGTTTTAAAGTGATTATTAAAAGAAATAATGCTAACTCATTTAACTACTTAGTATTGTTACATTCAGTTCCAAAATTTGGCCAGCATGCAACATCCTCAAGTCCCTTTTCCTTTGAGACTCTAACATGAGCCCTTCATGTCTCCTACTCTGGAGACTTTCTCTCTCCCTGTTACCATATTTTCAGTACATTTATTAATTTCACAGTCTGGCTTTGCCATCATATATTTACTAGGCTGGTACTTGGAATTTTAATTGTTTACTTGTTTGCTTCTTGTCAAGTATAAAGAAAATTTGAAGATGAGATGAATGTGTTCTTAATGGCCTCCCTGTCAGGCAACGTTTATCTTACAAAAATGGCTTAAGCATGATGAGCATTGTATTATGAAATTGTTTTCCAAACAAGCCAGTCTAATTACTTAATGATACAAAAGTCCAAAATTAATTGAGAACCTCTAGTTACCCAAAGGGACAAAAGGTCTTACTATATAATGTCTTGTTCACAAATAGGAATTATAAAACTTGTTATAATCCTTCCTTGACATTTAGATAAAATAATTAAAAATGTTTTGATTAATTCTTGACACACTAATAGAAGAGTATGTTTACAAAGATTGTAGGGGGCTAGAATTTAATGTGTTATGAAAGAGGTGATTGAGCTTATAATATGATTCAATATCATGAATATAAACTATGGTATTAGTTTCTAAAATCAACTACATTAAAGTGATTATCTTAGACAACTAGGATACTTACAAATAAGTTGTGAAGACGTAATTGAAAGAAAAATTTGAATCATTCTTGGTTTTGGGAATAATTTACAATGTAAAGGTCAATTTATGCTACTGTTTCAAATTTCAATTTTAGTGAAGAAAATTTAACTAATTAGGACTTTTAAATTATGGACGAATTGTTTGGTAAACATATGAGGATGAGGTTATACATGTCTTTTTTAAATTTTAATGAAATGTGAAATATTCTGATACCAAAAATCTATTCAGTGCTGAATGATTTTTTATTGAGAACTTTCTAATTTTATGTATAGTAAGTATGTCTTGTACTAAGTAAGAAAGCAGTATGCAAATACATTGCAATCTTGTCAGAGCATAGCATTTTCAATAATTTTGTTGTAGGGACGATGCTATGTACAATTATATCTATGTATTATACACACAAATTTAATACAAACTCATGTTAGTGAAGCTTAGAATTAAGGCTATGAAAGAACAACTCAAGTAAACAAAGAATGAGAAAAACAGTTGACTTCTATTGTTTTTCTTATGATAGTGTTTTCAGAATTAAATGTACTTTGCATCTTTTTAAAAATTGCAAATGTAAGACAGTATGAGAAATGTGTGGAGAAGGAATGTCCTAAGTTAACCTAACCTACTATAACTCCGGGTACTTTCAGCTCTGCAGGCCACCTGAGAGCTCTGCAGGGAGCCTTGCTAAAGCTCAGTGTAAAGGGAGTGAAAGCAGGACCCAGGTCCCTGTGGGATACTGCTGGACAGCACAGATGCTTTGCTAAGATAAGTGTCCGATAGCACGGCAAGCATGAGGGCCAGACATAGCCAAAGCCGGTCCCTGGGACAGGTAAACACTGCATTCTGGCTTGTGGGCATTACTCCTCCCATTTCCCCTCAGTGCTTTTTAGAGACTAGTACATAACCAGAGACACCAGGACAGAGGCTCAGTCCTAGAGACTGCGGCCCCTGACCCCATAACTTGGTCTCTCATTTTCTTTTCATCTGCTGCACCTCGTTTTGGGGACCCTTTTCCTCATGGAAACCAACAAAAATCAAAAGGGAAAATAGGATCAAATGAATACATTCCACATAACCACATGTTAGGTGTTAAGACTGTGGTGTGAGTGGGCTAGATCTGCCTCAGTCGGCTGCCAGGAGATTCACTAAGACTGTGTCTTGGTTCAGTCGCACATGGACAGCGCTGTAAAGGAAACTGAACCTCGCAAAATAATGTTCAAGATGCTCAACTTCACTACATGTTATTACTCTAAGAGACAGTTTTTTCCCATACTACAGGGATTTAGGTTCACAAAACATTGAAGATTATAAATATCAGTAGGTACTGAAAGATGATTCTTAGGCAACAGGTCATGAGCAAAACACTGAAAGAGAATGATGCTTGGAGACTTGCTAGGCGGGGAAGGTCTCCATAAACAGTGTGAGCAGACATCCCCACATGGAAAAATTTGTCAGACATGAGGAAGCTGATTTTAACAGATCGAGACATTAGCAAAACGAATTTCAAATTAAGGAATCATTAATAACTGGGCAGATTAAGGAGGATCTTCAATGTTTGCTAAAGGAGGTGACCTTTATTTGCCTTCTTAATATGAGAAATTACCCAATCTATGAATAGTATAGTAACACAATTAAAATCGTTTTGGGAAAGTTATTTTTGACAGAGCACTGGAAAGACTGAAGAAGGAAATGAAAACAATCAAATCACAGAGGACGTTTCAAGTTAAGTTAAACATTGTAAGTTGCTATGAGATATACAGAGCACAGACAATTGCATGTGGTTTAAGAAAAGGTTTCCCAGTTAGAACTGCTGTGTAACTCACCTACACTTTACACTCTTACGAAGCTGAGCCAAACAAACCAAAACCTAATTCAAAGGTCACAATTCAGACAGTAAAAGAAGTCTATTTTTATACACTGAAAATCAAATACACAACCGTTAATTATTTTTCACTACAATAGAGAACTTTTTCCATTGTCATGCCCACTGATTGTTTGGTCACACTATTAAAACAGCAATTACAGTCTTACCTTTTTAAAGTAATATAAACCAAGAAATCCCAGAGTATATAACACATAATTTCTCCAAATGTATATGAATAGAAGAATGTTACACAATGTAAAATACATTTTAATTAATTCCAAAAAAGAATGTAAAGGCCTACTGCTATGTTTAATAAACAAATTACATTGATTTTCTCATATAAATGGTATGCAACTTAAAGATTATAAAAATCGAGCCAAAAGTGATCTGTTGAAATATGAACTGTTATATTAATAAATTTACTTTCTGTGCATGCAAGTATATACAATAAATAACTGTAAGTACTCTAGAAATATTTTCTAACTTATTGGACTAACAAAAATAATTATAATAATCAGTATTTTAAAAAAAGAAAAAGGACTTAGGATTTTAACTAAAATGGAAAAGAAATCAAACACTTTCTTTTATTATAATAAAGAAACAAGATTATTCAAGAATGTTCCAAGTATGACTAGAAGTTATTTAAATGATTCAGTTGTGACTTATAGTTAAATATTTTGTATATTTAAGAAATTGATTTGTATCTTAAAAGTATTGTTCAAATTTAGGAATGAAATTTAGGAATGAAAACTAGTGTTAATTTCCTATTTCTTTTTGAAATTTTGTATCCTTTTTAACCTTTGTCACTAAAAAAAATTTAAAAAATGAATAAAACTAACTGTAACAGTTATTTGGTGGATTTTTAAAGCTTACTGGAGGGATTTTTTTAGAAAACTCATTTAAATAGAATTTCAAAAAAAAAAATAAAGAAAATGTTAAACATTAAGTAACATAACTGCACAGAAAAAACCTGACAGTTATTTTGTGTATTTTAGTACAATCTTTTATATGCTTTATTTGGACAGGTATTAATGTGTTACAAAATAGGAATCTTATGTCTCTCAAACTTTAAAAAAAAAATAAACAAATCAACTTAATTCTAATAAACCTGAGATATTTTTCCAATACTTAACTAGTGTTATTATCTAAGAGATTCAAAGACATTGGCTTAAAATGAGAGTAGATAACTCCTACTTTGATGCAATAAAATCATTCTTACATAAACAAAGGTAAAAATTTAATGAGTTGAAGTTTCCTATAGCAAATTCAATTCACAGAATTATATCAGAAGTCACAAGAACATATTTCACCCATGTTAGTCTCTAACTTATCTCCTTAATTCCGTAATTACAAAGGAACCATTTATGAAAATTTCTAGTGAACAGTTATTGATAGGTTTTTCCTCATGTAGAAACACCCTTTGGCACTGGTTAGCACCCCTTTGCATTCTTTTCGCAAAACCCACAAGTCTAACCTCCAGCTTTTGCGCATGGGGCAAAGGCTCCTTCTATCAGCTTTCAATTTGTCATCCAGCCTGCCCTTTAGCTCCGCCCCGTGAAATTCCAAATAAAAAGCACCAATTTTTCCTGAGTCTTCTGAAAGGTGCCTGCCTCTCTTCAGCAGCCTTCAAGTGCCCTCAATAAAGACCTGTTTTCCTTCCCCCTGTTACCTCTCTGTTCTCTCACCTTAGGGAAACCAAACAGTATCAACCAAGAGAAACATAAAAGAGTAGATGGAAACTGACCTCGTTCACGGTAGCATAGTAGCTTTCGTGTTTGAAAGTCGGTGAATTGTCATTTCTGTCTCTCACCACAATTCTCACTTCGTGGTAGATAACTGTGCCCACTTTTTTGTTGATACACTGGACTTGCACAACAATGGAGTGTATATTCATTGGTGGCTGCAACAGAAGTTAGACATTTAAAACAAAACTAATTTAAATCAGTCCTACCATCACTGTCAATGCTGTCAACCAACAAGACTTCTGATTGCTCATTTTTACATTGTAATACTCTATTAAAAAACTGGTATTGTGTGTGCTGTTTTATAAGAAAAGAATGGGCAATCATAATTATTGCATGTTGAACTTTGTATAGAAGTAACGCTCTTTTAGGGGATTACTAATAAGTCAAAAAACATAACAAAGAGACTTGATGTGATAAAAAATTTTATGCTAAAGAAACTATGATACAGACTTCCACTTTCATTAGAAAAACAATTTAGTAATTAGTAAATTCCTGAAGACAGTCAATATAACAAGTTCATTTACAAACTTGTTAGTATGTTATATTGTCATTATTGATACAAACTGACATGTAATCAAAAGAAAATCTATTCATAATCCAACCAAAAATGTTTACTCCATACATTCACTTTGTTCATGTTTTTCTCTTTCCAAGTATATACTCATTAAACATTATGCACTCAGAGACATACAAAATATATATGCACATATAAATATTATGCTTGGAAATAGATATTCCAAGTAGCAGTTTGGTGTATATGGCTATGAACCTATGTTTTATGGTTTATCAATGATCTTTTATAAGGTTATAGTTTAATTTTCATAAGTAATAATTGAAAGTAAGATGTTTTAGGCTATCAATTTTTGTCATTCAACACATTAAATATAAATGTACGTTCCTTTGTCTAATTAGCTTTAGGATACTTTTTTGAAGAAAAAGTTCTCATTAAGGTGATACATATTTATACAGCCCCTCTGTGCTAAGCTTATAAGGATGATGTACACCCTTACATATGTTTAATGTAGTCAGAGTAAAATACCATTAAATACTTTTCAGTGATTTTTAGATCTTTTTCAGTCTTTTAAAATGTTCTCTCTAAATATGTTGCTTTACCAGAACAATCCAGCTGGATCATTTAATCTTAAATATTATGCTTCCATATGTACACATGAATCAAAGCATTACATTTAAATATATAAATAAATGTGTCAATTAACAATTTTTTAAGAACCTTAATTCCTACAAGATGAAAAAATAGTCTTGTAAAATATGATTTAATAATTTTAAATTGCAAAATTGCAAAATAAATTATAAAACGTTTGACTTACACCAGTGCAAAATATAATTATCACTACTGCTTTAATTTAAATGAATTAATTTAAATTATTGACTGCAACATTTGTAAATAAAAAAAATTGCTTGAGAAAACATATCTCAACTGAAGCAAAATATTGTTAATCTCAGAAATTTCTGTGGCTAACACAGAAAAAAAAAACAGTTGAATTGATTTGCACCTGTATAAATAATTGTAACTAGAAAGAATAAATGGAGATACTATAAACACATAGGAATATCTATAGTGAGATGGCACTTAGTTCTGTGCTCTGATATCTACCATTTCACTTTTAATCTTGATATAAATAAACACATTAAAGTCATTTGTATAGAATCTATTAATGTAACAAAGTCCAGAAAAATTATAAGACACACAATGATAAAAGTATTAGAGGTAAATGTCAAATTTATATAATAATATATGTTAATTCTCCAATTTTTAATGGAAAAAACTCACTCAAATCTGACAAAGGGCTACAAATGTCAATTTGAACATATACTAAATTTTTGATAATTAAAGCTGATTTGATGTGCTTATAGATTAAATTTCCTGCTGTGATACTAGTGCACAATGTACATTCATTATTAACATAAGACAGAAAAAGTGGGTTGTCATACTATCATCCTACAAGTGAAGAGAAAGAACAATTTAAACACTTGAAGAGTGCATGACAAAATTTAACATGCTCAAACCAGAGGAGACAAGATTTGTCATATATCTAAAAGATTTCATGAAAAAAAATACTGTCTCACTCATTACAGTCCCACAAAGAAGAAATAAGTCCAATAAATAAAATGCATCACACAACATATTCCTCTGTGTAAGCTTTATCTCTTGATACAGAATTAAAAAAGACTAACCTACTAAGCAAGCTGAATTACTAAATATATGCAAACCTAAGGATAAAATACCATTTAAAGAGAGGAGGAATTTAGAAGTTTTCTGGAAAGAATTTCAACTAAATGACCTCTGTTAGCTGCCAATTTTAAACCATTTGCATTAAGAGACCTTTTAAACAGGATCTGTGTTTTAACTACAAAGTAAAAACAGAATAAATGCATGTACTGGTAGCACTTCGTACATCTCTTAGAAGACATTCAGGTGAATTATATTGTAAAGTTATTTATCTTCTAAATATTTCAAGAGAGACCTATAAAATCCTTTCATCTGAACTTCTAATTCAACATTGAGTGGTAGCACTGTGACAGAAAGGTCACAGTCTTTTCAAGTACAGGATCAAATGTAGCGTGCTCCAAGGCCCCACTTAGCCCTGCTAAGCACCCATAAATTAGACATAACCAGGTCACCTGGAACTGTCATTACTTTCAACTTCAGCTACCAGTGCAGCTCTTAGGAGCATGGGTATCACTTAGCAAGCCATAAATTTCAGCCACAATGGACTCTGCTGAAGTCAAGAAGTCCCCGTGGCTAATATGTAAGGCATAGTGTAATTTTGCAGTGGAATATATTAGCTCCTGCTGTTTAAGATGGGCATAAATACATCAAGTACAGTTCTCCTAGGTTGATTAGTAAGAGCTTAGAGAATCCAAGATGTTTAAAAATTTGTTAGCACAATTTTCTTTTATCTTTAATTGAAATTACATTCCAATGTTACTATTAAGAAAGAGCTTTACATAAAGAATCACATGTAAAATACCCCTTGCTAGTAGACAAATCTTAACTTATATTGCTAGATAAAGGTGATTTCAAGGGTTATTTCTGAAAGAATACCAAAGAGAATGTGGGGGGAAAAAAACTAAAATGCATTTACAAGACAGAAATGAATTTGGTTTAGTGACAAATCAGTCTTGGTAATTTTACTTTTTGATTATCCTTAATTGCTTATTTATGAAGAAAAAAAGTGTACAACACATTTTGGCACAATTGTTTAAACCAAGGACGAGTCATCTATACCTAGAATGCAAATTGCACTTCTAATTTCAAAACATGAATACCTAACATAACACTAGCTCTACACAGCACTCATCTCCTTTTTAAAGGGAACTGAGATTTTTCTAGAAATTACATTAGTTGGAATACTTAAGGTTTTGTGGGGCTCGTTATCTATATTGTAATAATTTTTGAGCTAAGCTAAATTATTGCTGTTAAATTTAACCCTCACATGAGTGAATTATTTTGGTGTCTTTTTTCTGCCTCTGTGGACATTTTACAAAATGACGAATCTTCAGAATTCCACAAATAAAGTTGAAGAAACTGGAAAAAGACACAGTGCCTTTAGAAATTATTTTTAAATAACAAATAAATTTAAAGGAAATGGAATCAAAGATGTGCATGTTCTTTACAAATGAAAATTTCAGATGAATAATAGTATATATATATATAGAAGCCACTAAAAGAGGAGAATATCAAATTGAAGATATATTTATGTATATGAATAATATTTAAATACATTTGTAGATTTTTTTCACCATGAATAATTAAGGATGTTCAGATTATTTAATAGTAGACACTTTGTTTTAGAGAAAATTTTACATGCATTTTGATTGTTATCAGTTCTGGGGCACAAAGTATATGTCCTGTAAAAGATATGAAATGAGCATAAACAATTAAACAATGAATGTTTAAAGTATATTTTGAGGTTACAAAATATTAAGCAAGAAATGCATGTTACATTGGAAAGAACTTTACATAAAAAATGACATGTAACATCCTCTTTGCCAGTAGAAAAATTTGAACTTATATTAATGGTTAAAGGTGATTTCAAAAGTTATTTTTGAAAGAATACCAAAGAAAATGTGAGGGAAAAAAAACCCTGAATTGCATTTAGGAGACAGAAATAAATTTGATTTTCCTAGATAACAATCTACATATTTCTAAAATATAAATTATATAAATAAAGTACAAATTGAATAAAGAACTACAATAATGATGGAATAAATACAATAGTTTTTAATGAAAAAAAAAAAAACTTACTACTACCAAGATCAAAACTCATTTGAAGCACTACATCTAGAAAAAAGTAAATAAAGATGCTCAAACAATTAAGAGATTATTTCACAGTCCATGTAAGAACGATGAAAGTTTGTAGTAATATTGTACCACCAGATGGACATGCAGGAAACCATATGGATATATGGCGATTAAATTTAAGCATTTAAATGGATCATGATGTGATCAATGCATTCACAGTTACCGTGAAAGAAGAGAAATTAAAAATTTGGCACTACCGTGAATACCACTTATCTCCGTTCAAGCTCTTCTAAAATTGTGCCCAGAGTTTTGTGATAAGTATATCAGGACTGTAGCACAATGATATTTTTCATAATACTTTAATAATTGATTAAAGAATATTGGTCACTTGAGATAACAATTTGGCATTCATACATGATATTCTTTTGTTACAAAGACTTTTAATTTTTCTCAAAAACCATCCTATTATGGTCATTTTAAAACTTTGTCTCTGGATTTTGAAAAGATTAACTACTGGTCAATTTGTTAGTCCTACCTGAACTGAATCTGTTTGGTGATGAATGTGGAAGGCCCACCTGAGCACTGCTGATCAATACAAGGAGAAGGGAAGATGGTGTGCTGTTGATTGTCTCGGAGAAGCTTGTCACCCTTGTTTTCCTGATAAGAACCCATCTGTTTCATCCTCGAAGGAGCTCAGATCCTGTCTGTCACTGAGGATAGCTGTAGTTCTTTTAGGGGGAGTTCTGGTTTTTACTTTGAGTATCATTTCCTGGCTCCAGGACAGATTCCTCAGTGTGCTGGTGTACATCATTCATTCTGCTGACACAGACTTCCTGGCTCCCTCCTCTGGCCTTTGTGCCTTCCTAAGGCTGATCCTTGATAGAGACTTGAATGAGACATATTAATGCGCTCTAGCTCTCAAGCTGGATTCATGGAAGACATTTCCATATGTTCTATGTCTTCAACTGGACTTCTGTAGGACATTGTTGTGGGATCCAGGCCCTCAGTTAGATTCTTTAGGTCTTTAGTGTGTTTACAGATCCCTCGCAATAATTTATATTGACTCTTTGGTTGAATATTATAAAATAATCCAATAAATTATGTACCCTGTATTGCCTTTTCCTTTGAAAACTCTGACAATAACACCTTAATAGTTTCTTCTTAATATAGTGCAATAATTTATGTAACTTTCCTAAACAGAATGACACAAGAACAAAAAAATGGTGACCATCAGGGAAAGATTTATAGATGAAGTTTGAAAATAACCATTCAATTCATTCTCTAATGATCTCATATAAAAGTTTTCTAATTAAGTAAAAGTGTTTGGGACTAGGTATTTTTATTTTTGATTTTTATCTTGAGTTTTTTTAAAAAACATTATTTTTATTAGATTTCTTTAAAAAACTGTAAAACATAGATTTCTTTACATTATAATTGCTCTTAGTTCTATGCATCAAGGGCTACTGATGGAATCACTGAACAAAATGTAGAAAGTATGATTTGGAACACTTTCCTTGAAAAATAAAGTTTTTGCTAGTTGCTGCCAGAAGGATGGGTATAACTGTATACAGATCTACTAGTGACCTCATGATTTTTGTGCTATAATTAATTCAAGGCAATAAATATTATATTAGTCTTTATCTTCCAAAGAAAACACACACAGGCACTATAGTGAGTTTTTTAATAGGAGATTCACATTAGCAAACTAAACCTTGGTCCCCTATCTCTTCACAAACAGAAAAGTAAACTCAAAATTGAAAGATCTAAAGCTAAGATTAAAACAAACTGCATTAAGAAAGCATAGGGAAACATTTCAATACCTGAAGTCATAAATACAGAAAACATTTTTGAGTAAATTCCCACAAGCAAAGATAGTAAAGCAAAAATAGAGAAACAGAATTATATCAAACTAAGGAGCTCAGTGTTTAAAGGTACAATAAACACAGTAAAGAAACAATTTATAGAAGAGGAAGAACTTTTTGAAAAACATTCTTCTGAAAAAGGATTAATATCCAGAATATATGACACTTAAAAAACTTCCAACAATCTAATTAAAAATAGGAAAAGAATATAAATTGATACTTAGAAGGAAAAATTTAAATAGACAACAATACATGAAAAAATGCTGAATTGTATTAGGTGCCGGGGAACTGCAGGTTAAAAACCACGGTAAGATGATATCTAACCCTAATTTAAATAGCTTCGGTTAAAAGGATAAAGTACAACAAATATTGGGAAGGATGTGGAGAAAAGGGAACTGTCATAGAGTGTTGGCAGGGATGTAATTAGTACACTCTTTATGGAGAGCAAAAAGTGGAGCTACTTTGGCTTAAAGCCAAAGTAAATGATGTCAGCATATCAAAAAAGAAACCAGCATATCCATGTTTATTGATGCATTGTTCATAGTGGCTGAGCTATAGAGCAACCTAGGGGTTTATCACTGGATCAGTGAATGAAGAAAACATGGAACGTATATACAATGGATCACTGTTTAACCATTAAAAAAGAACGTCATTTGCAATAAGGTGGATGAACTGACGGGCATTATTGTAAGTCAGACACAGAAAAAATAATGCTGAATTTTATTTATCCCCATTGGATAGTAAAAAAAAGTCAATCTATGTATATAGAGGATCTGAAAGGTGAAAGCAAGTTCAGATAATTGAAGAGTGGATAGCAGGTAGTTCAATATAATCAGATAAAATTAATAAATGCTAGTGTTGTATAGAAGAAAGGAACCGTATTCAACAATATTCTATCATATTTCAGAATAACTGGAAAAAATACTTGAAATCTCTAAGTACAAAGTGACAATAAGGAGATAGGCAATTGGAATAAATAGTAAATTTGTATACTTAAATAACTTGTAAAAAATAAAAAGGTAATAATATAAAGATCAAATTTATAGGAAACTGGCATGGAGAAACCATCAAAAAGTTCTCAACACATTAACAAAAGAAAAGAATGAGATAGCAGAATCATAACTGTACAAAAGAATTTGATTTTCATGGAGAAAGGCAGAAAATATGCATGAGAAAAAATAGAGCCTACCATCCACGAGGTACAAGTTTAATAGTTTTCTTCTGTCTCTTGCAGTGTTATAATTTGCTTCCAAACAAATGATAATGCAATTCTTTGCGTTGATATTTTAATATTCTCTGCCCCCAGTATGATTTTATGTAAGAGCCTATTTAAGTTTTCCCTATAAGTCAAAGAATTTTTATTAAACTCAGAATAGTCTTAGAAAAACATCACCAACAAAAATGCAGTGGAATCACTTTCATTAAAAAAACTTCAGAGTTCTAAAATAGCAATCAAATTAATTTTAACTTAGTAGTTATTATACATAGTTTAGCAATTTGTAAAAGAGTTATACCCTAATTACTTGCTCTCTTTTGCTGTTGAGAAAATCAATTATTTTAATTATTATTCACTCAATGCATAAAATGAACAATTCAAAAAATATAGTTGATAATCTATACAATTACACTGAATGTAAATATCTTATATATGTGTATTAAAAGAAGCCCTACAGATTTAGTAATTTTCACAATTCAGTTCTTCCACAACAATGTGATTTTATGAATGCTTAGCTCTTGAGGAGAAATACATTAAATTCATGTTTTAAATTTAAATTATAAATCTGTATAAAACTGTCACATTATAAATATATATTGCAATAGTAATGGAATGTACTATTTATAGTGTAATCTATGTGTAAAAATGGGCATTAAATTTCCCAACTGAATTACCTATTTTTGTAAGAAAAAGCTTTGTAGAAAAGAAGCATTAAGAACATCCAACTAAAAATTCTTATTCAAAATCAACGTAAATAATTTTAAAATAATAAATTGTGAAGTCAGAAGTTTTCCGTGTAGAATAAAATCATTCTATGTTTTAAAATCATACTATTTTATGATTTAAGTATGATTTTATTTCAGTATCCACATGCAATGTAGCAACTATGGGGGATTTCCCAAGTCTTGTTTTTGAACTCCAATATTGTTTTCCACTGTTCTTTTCTGTTTTATTATTTTGTCTTATTTCCTTTAAAATAAATTTTAAAAATTAAAAAATTACAGATATCACTTGGTTGTGGGTGTGGTTCACTCTAAAGCTCAGTCCTATCATGTGCATGGTGCTGTATACAAGCCTCAGTATAAAAAAAGAGGAAAACAGAAATAATCCCAGCTTTGTTCATTCATAGAACACAATGCAGACAATGAAAATGATATCAAAAACATGTATTCATTCACTTGGAAATGTGTGCCTCTCATATGAAACCAGGCTAAGAGCACAGCACAGTTTGATTCTGCTTTTAATCTCTAAATACTAAAGTTGCATATACAATAAATACATACACTAACAAACACATGTGCTTGCAATATGTGGCACAATAAATACTAAATGACATTAACCCTAGTTTTCAATTGCTGTAATATGTATGCTTTTTATTTTCTGGTACATCCTCCATTCACATATGATTTTACAATTAAATGAAATTATAATTTTAGTTGCAGTTAGATTTGGCATAAAAGCACAGATTTACCTCACTGGTTGTCTAGCAGCAGGGGTGACCTATGCGTCACACAAAATAGGTGGGCACTAGGTTAAGAAATTTCAAATAAATTTATACTTTCATGAACAAAGCTGAAAAATCACTGTAACAGCAGACAGAACATTTCATAGCAATCAAAAATTTAAAATCAGTAAAGAACACAGTGAACTACGTCAGAAATGAGAGGCAAGTGGAGGTTTATTGAGGACTGTAAATTTTGAACATGAAAGTTAAAGGCTCATCTATTCCATCCGTTGGTATTCCACCTGTTGGTAAGTGGATCATAAACCCTGACCAATAATGTGTGATATAAGTGATGCTTAGGTTTCATTCTGGGGGCTTGGGGTAGACACATTTAGTTTGACTCCCTGAGTTTTCCCATTAATTACTGCTTACCTCCCTGAACATTAATTAATGCTTATAATCACTCTACCCTCATTTTCTTTCTTCAGCCTCAAAAGAAAGAGATGCACAGAAGTGACAACCAGGTTTTGTTTTATAGATATAAATGAATCTGCTGTTTAACTTTTTCAGAAATGGCATAAGCAACCACTTTAATGATTCAGCAATTGTTAATCATGAAATATTTCTTTCACGGTAATTGAAAATGACTGGACTAGGACATTATCACCTTTTCCACCTTTTATAGGATGGACAGACACTGTGAGAGCCTTATCCTTCTGCAAAGGCCAAAAACCTGTGAGACCAGCTGACTGTGAATTCCCCACCAAACCTCTGTCCTCAGGTCCACAGTAGAGCGCACTCTCATACTTTGCCAGTGTTAAAGAGAAACAGCTGATGCTAATGCTTGTCCTACTTGCTCAAGATTACAGTCTTTTTATTTTGTGCATTCACTTATTTCAGAATACTGAAAGGGAAATGCAATGATTGGCTCAGATGCACCTTAGTGTCTTTACTTATTCTTTTTCCAAAGAGATAATTTGTTGCCAATAAAGCAGGAAATAAACTCAAAATATATCAAGAAATTTAACATCTAACAATAAACACATGCAAACATTTATACTGTAACTTTGTTATAACACACAATAAAGGTAAATATTCACTAACATCTCTATCCAGAACTCTGCCCGTACTGTTCAGGAAAAGCATTTGTTTAACAGGATCCAGCAGCACCCAGTAATCCACGTTGTCCTTTAAAGAGAGCTCTATGGTGGGATCCGGTCCTCCAGCAGTGCCTTTGATCAGCATGTTGTCCACCAGAATTGTACCTGCAAACAAAGAAAGCTATTTATAACCACATACTACTAAAATGTATTTTTGGCTCTTGAATTCCAATTGTCTTACATTAAATCATTATGCAAACAGAAAATATTCAAGTATATATCAGAAAAATTTCCTTGACAGAAAAAATTATCAAAATACCATTATACTCTTCATAAATGATACTTTGGGAGATGAGAAAAGGGGCTGAATTCAGGCGCCTGGTAAGTTTCCTCATCTATTTCTTTCCCTTTAACAATATGAATCTCTTCCCCTCCCTGCCCATCACTTCTCCTGGGAGTTATCATTGAGTTTCCTGAACAAAAAGAAATACCTATAATATCAGAGTATGATACTTCAATTCTCTCGGTAAGACTTCTGATATGAAAAGAGTTTGCTCAAAAATGAGAGAGAAAGAAAAAAGGCAGAGATAGTAAAGAAGTAGCAGAATCTCCCATGGTGAGAACTGCATCTTTTTCCTTTATCTTAAAACAAATCCATAAAACATGTATCTTAATGTGAGAGACAAAACTAGTGTACAGACGCACAATAGAAGCTATTCTTTTTAAAGGCATGCCTGAGGTACTCAGCTAGATCTATACACCATTCCACTGTAACACCCTGATGCTTGCTTCCTCTGCAGTCTTTTGACCAGGCTTAACTCTGGACAATTCTTAAATATGATTTATAAAGAGAGTAGGGCTCTAATGTTTCTTATTCTATATGATTCTATGTATTTTACCAGTTGAATGCAAACAGCTCTGATGCAACAACAATCTCATATTTCTCTCACGTAACAAAGTCTCTTTAAGAAGCAATGATGTACTATGGCTTACAGCAATGATTCCAACTGATCTACTTTATTAAATTTAAAGTATATAAAATAGATATGACAATGCAGACAAATTGAGCTTCTAAAGACACTAGAAGATACCTAGAGAACTCCTTATATTAGGACACATTATTTTAATTCCAAAGAATAATCATAGAGCTTATTAATCTGTATTATCATATTCTCCAGAGAGACCAATACATTTTCGATTACAAGTGTTCACATAGCCGTTCTGCTTTCACTAAATTAAGTCCAGCTCAAGTACAGCTTTTGGTGTTTTGTTTTGCTTTGTTTTAATCTTCTTAAACAGCAAAGTCTTCATTTTTAGTTGTGGAAAAAAAACTTTACTAGACTGAATAAAAATATAAACTTACTGAAAAAATTATAAATCAATACAATTTCCTTATTATTTCAAATATCTCCTCTTACTTACCAATTGTATTAAAGGCAATTTGCATAAAAAGCTGCTCTTGGATTGTTTTTAGGACTAAAAGGGAGAGTTCATGTGATACGCTAATTGAAACTTCTGATACAGAAAAGCAATAAACAACTGTAAATTTTGATTATTGTTGGTGTTACTAGGTCTGTTCTGGGAAGAAAAGCATCTGAAGCTAAACCACATATTCACCTCTTGTTACAGATGTCTTTACAAACCCAGTTATTCTTCATGTTACAACTACCGTTATTATTTTTGCTCAACAGATAGGCAGAACAAGTTGTCAGTAATCTTTATGTGAATTCAGTCCAAGTAATGACTGTTAGAAGGTAAAAGACAGGGAGAAAGTGAACCTTTTGGACATAATGCACAGTGGCGCTGTGCCTTCCTCCTTCCTTCCTTCCTTCCTTCCTTCCTTCCTTCCTTCCTTCCTTCCCTCCTTTACTATATTGCCTCTGACAGGCAATCCATGTAATTGTGATCCCCAGAGAGGACCACCACTGATTTCATTTCCTAACTTGAGACAATTTCAGATTTATTCACCAAAATCCACCTTACATTTGATGGTTGGAAAAATTTATTCATCAAGTTTATACTAGATGCGATTTTTATATTGAATAATTGTCATTACATTAAATACATTGTATTAATGTCCAGCACAACACTTGGGTATAGGAGATACACATTATACAAATCATATGTAATATATATTTTCTATTACATGTAATATGCACATGTCTACCTATACATATTTTAGCATATAAATTTACAATACAAATTTCCTAATATATATTAATAAAAATTATACATATGTGATATAAACCATTATTGAATATTTAATGTTTTCCTGAAAAAGTTATGTTTCTTTAAATAGGCAGCATTAACACAAATGAATTACTGTGTAAAATTACCCTGAAAGTGACAATGGGGAGGGAAATCCATTGCCTTTCTAATTAAACAAATTCTGTGAAGCTGAAAAAAAGTATTTCTACAGGGAGAAACACTGATTGATTTATTGGATTTATTCCAAAATCTAAGAAAATTAATAAATATTTAACAAAAAAATTTGTGCATAGAACACACTACTTGATGCTATGAAATAGTTATTTAAAGATATGTAACCAACATGGATAATATTAAACTTCTCCAGGAAGATTTTTGCCAGTCTATATTACCTGGAAATAAATTTAGTGATTTAATCAGAAGCATCCATTGCTCTCTCTTTCATGTTAGCCTCTGATTTTTCATTAAATCAAAAACAAAAAAAATAAAAATATAAGGTTAATAGTGAAGTTAAGCACTGAGCACAGTAATTTTGTAGTTAATAAGTAAAATCTAGATTCAAAGACCATCTTGCAAAAGTAACTCTGCACACGTTCAGATTCTTTTTGAAAATTCATGAACTACTAGGTTTCTCTATTTTTTCACATTTCTTCGTCTATGAAGATGTAATCTATGCCTGGGTTCCTATTATAGCAAAATACTTGGAAAATTATTATGTGGCAAGAAAAATATCAAGTCTGTATCCAGGAATTTTATAAAGAAAAGATATTTTGTTTGGACAGTGATTTGAAAATTAGAAATATATTGACCACAGATAATTCCTGCTAAAGATAGAACACTACACATACAAACTCAAGTCATTAGCAGTTGAACAAAATATTGGTGGTATCAAAAACAAATTAGTTTGACATTTTTATGTAAAATTCAAATTTCTCTTAACTGAAAATCACAAATACAAAATGAGAGGTACCACTAAAATATTTTTTCACCTTTCTTAAAGACTAACTTATATTTTACTTTACTTCATGAAAAATCATAGATAATGTAGCAGCATTTTATCATATTACAAATATAAAACTTCATTATTGTGATTTTTATATTCTGTCTTAACTTTTTAAAGGAACTTATATAAATACTTTAAAGTTTAGTCATTTTTCTAGCATATATTTTGTTATTAATAAGTATTAAATAAATGTATATGTAATATGCAGTGTAGAATACAAGTTATTTATCTTTGATTTTATGTCATTTCCATTGAGTTCTTAAGAATATTACATAAAAGTTGTATTAATGTACAAATTACTTTTTGGAATTTCATGCCCTATAATTTTCTCGACAAATGTTTAAAGAAATAAAATGAAAATTATTCTAAAGTAAAATATAGTCTAGTACAATGCAATTGTCAGTGATCTGGCCTTCTTTATCAAAATACAGATAATGATATGATTCCTGATATAATAGCTTATACTTATAAAAGAAGACAGAAGGGAAGAATTATGGACCAGTGAAACTGGAATTCAGAGGGGGAGTGCAATTTTAAAAGTGACTGTCTTGGAATAATTAAACTGCTACCGCAGTTTCACTAAGGCAGACAGAAGCAGGCCAAACACAGTAGCTGTATCTCGAGTTTAAAGAAATTGAAAATTACCTCTGAGGAGAAGCTCTTCTCCATGACACCTGCCTAGTTTCTTTATGCCTAGAGTGAAGTTGTTAAGTGTGACTTTCTTCACAGAATGTGGCAAATGTGCCTTGGGATGTCAGTTTCCGTGAGGCAATTATGTGGCTACACCATCTGAAATTCTAGTGACAATGGTGACTAGGTTGTTGAGTATCAAACACCCTATTTTGTCTCTTTTCTTTTTGCTTTGATGGCTTTGACAAAGGAAGAGGTCATTTTGGAGGGAAGCATGGCAGGGAAAGCTAGGAGCATTTAGTGGCTAAAGTAATCTTCAGCTGGAGCCTGTCAGATACAAAAGCCTTTGGGCTCACAGCCACAGGGAGTACAACTGTGCCCGCACCTGAGTGTGCAGTGAGGTGGGGCCTTCCACAGTGCAGTCTCGGAAGAGATCATATCCCTGAAAATTTCTTGGTCATGGTCTTTAGAGACCAGCAGAGGCCTTGGCTTTGTTGAGCATAGATCTTGACACAAAGAAATTATCAAACAATAAATGTATATTGTTTAAGACAGAAAGTTTTAATAATAGTACTGTGTAGCAAAAAAGAAAAAATTAACACAAAAGTCACATCTATGTTCAAAATCTTGGCCCTTGTACATCAACTCTGTGATTGCAAACAAAATTCCCAGATTCTTATAATCAGGAATATGAATTGCTCTAAGGAATAAAGTAGTGTACATTTAGAAGCACATAGTTGCTAAAAGAACATAGTTAATAAATAAATAATATTATCACTAAGAATGTGTCATGAAGTAAAAGGCCATTTCTTGCTGATAAAAGCAAAAATAAACAAGATAAGAAGCAAGAAAGGTTATATTATTGAGATCAAGAACCTCATTAGTATTTATTTATGGAATCAACTAGACAAAGTAGTATTAAATACTGAAACATAGATGTAAAAGATGCAAAATTTTATCTTTAGAATATTATAAAATTTTATTATTTTATAATCCAATTGATGTATTTAAGATTTGTAATTACCATGCCATTTTTTTTCAATTTAATGATTATAGAAAGGTGATTAATAAAAGATCTTCTATACCATTGGGGAAAATGTAGAATCAAATCAGGCATTTCTCATAAAACAAAAACAAAACAAAAAAAAATCCAAATGATATGTATATGCTTTGAGTTCCCATAGGAAACACTCATAATAATACAAACTTTTTAAAAAGAAATAAAGTTTGGCTTGCAAACACACTCCACCAAAGAAAACACTCATGATGTTTAATAGAGAAACAAATATTGCTGAAGAAACTATTTTAAGACATACATGAATTC